TAAAGGGAAATAACAGAGTACACAAACAACGAGGTCACTAGCCTCAGAACAATGTCTCAACAGTAACCATCTCATGAATCCTGAAAAATCATGCCATTATGTGAGAGTAACAACGGAATATCAACTTCTCGAACCACAATGCCCTTCATTCATGGTACAAGGAACTAAATCTATCTAGTGGTGGTGCAACCGGATATTGCCGCCCTCAGTCCAACAGCTGGATTAAAAGAAACACCAGTAATATTATAATTACTTGAGTTCTATCAGTATAAATATAATTTAGTGTTCCCTTTATTTTGAAACATCACGTGAAGGTGATTGTTAACACTGTTACATAAATATATGTTGGACACTGCCCTTAGTCTGACGTACATTTAAAATACAGAGCATTTCAGGAGTTGGATGCTTCCATCGCCAGTTATAAGTGGGGAAATTTATCCTACTCAACAGGGTCCATTAGTTAGTCTCGAACACTGAGATTTCTTACAAATTAGTAACATCCTTTCTCCACAAATCACGCATGAGGAGAGAAACAGATTCAGCTCCCAAAACACGTGTAATTTAAATATACCTAAGATTATGACCTCCGTCCAGGACACTCTAGCGACCCTGTTTCAGCCTGGAATCAGAAATTCGTCTCTCAGGCGAGACACAGCAACGATTCAGAACTGCTAATATCTAATCCCTGTATATTTGCAAATAATCATAAGTAACGTAAATTTCTCTCCGTGTCGGTTGTAAGGAGTTCGTAGAAACGCCGGTGGAGGAGCCAGGTGACTGGCTACTGTTGGCGGTAGGATTGCTTATTGAAAACAAGAATTAAAATTTATTATCACGTTATTATCAAATACATGTTGTTCTTGATAATGACCTATAGATTACCACACGTGGACTGTTTGCAAATGGTTTACAAGCAGAAAATATTTTACAAATCGTAACACCATATTATCGATATCTAAGATAGGATTAAGTATTTCAAGATATCTTATGTATTTTTCTTTTTTACTTGGCAATCTAATTACAATCTTTAATAAACTCTGTCTTACACACTTATGGGGGTGTGTATTGATACTGGGAACCTTGTTTCAAACTGAAAAGAATGGGTTGAATTCTGATGGACTGAGTGCAAAACCTACGAGTTCCAATGATGACCAATTAGGGGAGTCACCATAGGAATAGTGGAGGGGGCGAGGAGGGGAGGTTATGCGCTTTGAACCATTACCAGAACTGACGAACTGTACTTGAAAGGATTCTGAAGATAGTGTATGCTGTACAGAACTATTAAGCTTATTTTGGACTCTATCCATTGGCTAGTACATATAAGACAAAAACCACAACGTTTCGGAGACTGGATCTGTCTCCGTCCTCAGGTGGATGGGGCAGGATAAACCTACTCAGCTGGGCCCGTTAAAAAGAGCTAGTCTCAATCACTGAATCTGGAGGTTCACCCACCCACCTGGAATTCTTTTTAACGGACCAAACTTAGTAGGTTTATCCTGCCCCATCCACCTGAGGACGGAGACAGATCCAGTCTCCGAAACGTTGTGGTTTTTGTCTTATACAGACAATATATTGTCTTATATAGACAATGGATAGAGTAAAAAATAAGCTTAATAGTTCTGTACTGACGAAATTTGTGATGTCAGCCGATGTCCCACAATGTGCTAGAAAGATAATTCGGATTAGACGCGATTTCAAAATCAGAATTAATACCTTCTTATGGCCCAAGAAATAACAGTCTAGAGGTTAGTTTTGGGAGAAGTTATAAAAATGAAAACCCGTTAAAAATATGTTTCCTAAAGGAAATACACGCTTCCATGTCTTCAACTAGACACTACTCTCTGCAGACGTACAGGGGATTGGAAGTACAGTTCCATGCATTCTTAACCTCGCCACTAGATGAAAGTTAGAGTAGCTTCACGTTCCGACCCCATTAGTCCAAGGGAAAGAGACCCTGGTACTTACATGGGCCCATTTATATATACTTTTTCTCAAACAATTATTCCCCCATTCTTGATATGGGTTCTCCTGTTGGGTCTTTGCACCATACGGATGTGGGGAGTGTTTACGAGGATTCGGAGGCATATGCTACCTCCATCTTCAGGGTAGAAGTGAGTGGAGTGGGTAAGTATTCGCATATATCAGTACTGTTTGATAACAGTCCTATCTGTTGTCCCGATTGGTACAGAACGCGAACCAGTCCCCACCCTCTCTCTGGTGGGTGGCGGATCGAAACCTTGTACTATATATACACGAACATTCATCCATCCTACTCACTTCGACCCTTAAGATGGAGGCAGCATGTACCTCTGAAACATCGGAAACCTTGCCATATCCACACTGTGTAAAGACTTAAGGGCGCAAGCAGCTTTAACAAGACAGGCTAACATCAATATTTGTTTCTTCATAGAAAATGTTTTTTTTCTTTAGGAATATTATGAGTGAGAAGGAAATTCTGTAAGGCCACAAAAATATATAAAAATGGACGTGTTTATAAGCAGGACAAACGCGTGTTATCATGAGAAGGAAATAATCAGTGCTGGGATGAAGGAGTGTTTATGAGTTTAACGATAAAATGAACATTGGTGAATCACGAACTAACACAGAAATAATTACATTTTTTGTTGTTGTTACTTTTCGTATATGAGAGGGGAGAAATTCATATAAAATTAACTGTCATAATAAGGAATTCCGGTGAGACTTCCCTAACTGTTGTACTCTTTGCAGCGTCTTCTTAAGTCAGAGATAATAGTTTTTTTTCCTCTCCCAGCAAAAAGGAAGTTTTTAGAGAAAGAATTCTCCTCTTCTGTTATCAACGGCTATGAAATTGTTCTAAGAGCTGGATCTGAGACCCATCGCTTCCTTGCATATCAACATCAGCATCCTTCCGCTCCAGCAGCGAAGGAAATTAATAATTCTGATAATTTTGTTCTGGCTTGTATTGCGTGGGCTGATGAAATCTACTTCATAAATGGAAACGCCCAACCTCCGTAATTGTAACATCACGTAAATAATATTTCCTGCTTTTATCTTCGAGCTTGTTTAGAATTATACAGGGTGTTTGAAACCAAGCTGTTGGGGAGGCTGTTTGAATCTAAGAGGGCGGAAGTAACATGATGGAGAAAAATGCAAGGCGAGGAGCTTAGTAACTTGTACTTTTCACCTAGTATTATTAGAATCGTCGCACCATGAAGGAGAATATGGGAAAGACATATTGTGGGCAGAGAAGAGAGGCGCATGCGAAGTTTGATAGGAAAACCTCTAGAGACCACTATGAAGACACAGATATAGGTTGCATGATAATATTAAAGNTTCCATCCGAAATTGCCCTCAAGTTAAAACGTCAATGTTAAAATATTTAAAAGTTTAAAACATTTGAAGTAAAATGTTAGGCTCCTCCTTGTTAATTCATCCCGATGATGGGAGATGTCAGCTTGAGGTTGTATAGGCTTATGGTTAGATGTTTCCTATGCGTTGTGTGTTGTGTACTGCTGACATCTCCCATCATCGGGATGAATTAACAAGGAGGAGCCTAACATTTTACTTCAAATGTTTTAAACTTTTAAATATTTTAACATTGACGTTTTAACTTGAGGGCAATTTCGGATGGAATGTGAGAGTTGAACGTGCATTCAATAATCCTAGCAAGTGTTGTGCTTTTACACATCGACATATTGTAGCAGCGTCCACGCAGCATATATACTGTGTACATTTAAACAACGACAGTGTTTTCATGATTGTACTATGTGCCTCTGATGATGGTTTTATTAAACCGAAACATGTAAGGCAAAAGTGATAAAGAAGTGACCTAAAAAATTGTTACACTCGACGGACTTTCTATTGACTTTGTGATTGATAGTGTAACGGACCAAAAATGAAACAATTCAAAATATTAAAGATGTTAAAAAGATAGGATGGGTGGATATGGATGGGTTCATCTGGCTCTGGATATGAACAAATTCAGGGCTCTTTTGAACATGATAATGAACCTATGGACATTTATAATATGATGGCAATTTTTTTAGTAAATGGACAACTATTACTACCGTTTCTTTCTTTCAGAGTGTCCTATCAAAACGTTTATACACTCTTCTCCAATTCGTACTACATGACTTCCCATCGCACACCTCTTTATTTTATCGTTCTAATTATATATGACGAACAGCATAATTTATGAAGCTCCTCATTGTGAAGTTATTTTTCGGCTTCCAGTTATTTCGTCCCTCATAGGCCCAAATATTCCCCTCAGCAGACTTGGCGTAGACAGAGGATGATATTAAAATGGTTCTTAAAACAGTGGAATATGAAGGAAGAGGGGAATAAAGGAAACAGATGAAACAGAGGAATAAGAATAGGAAGACTAAGAAGCAGAAAGAATATCTGTATACAGAGTTCTTAGAAATGATTTGACACTTCCAAACATTTATTACCACAAAAAAAAAAAAAAGAGGGACTCACAGAAATGGAACTTATACCATTTGTAAGAGAAATTCTCAAAGTTCAGAACAATTCAATCCTGAAATGATTACAGATCTGGAGTCATGAAACCAAAATACATAACGCGCTTTCTGTCACAGAGTCACCATTTTGTCAACCCGACAACATGCGTGACACCTAACGGCAGACACTGCAGTTACGTTAACTCTCGCGGAATGCTTCCGAGTTTATATCGTTAATGGCGCAAGTTCCACTTCTGTATATCTATTAGTTCTTTCCTGTAATAAATGACTGAATCTGCACAGTCCATTTATACACGTAATAAATCTGTATACAGCTGTTATGTTGCGAAATTTCTTACTGCACAAAAAAGATCCCCTTATTGAAGATTTGGGTCTTCATATGTTTGCATGTAGCATGCATATTACTTGTAGTAGTAATGGCTTAGAGCGCACACCACTGTGAGGTGAGGGAGGGGGGGCAACGTCGAATATATCCACCACTTCGTTCCCCAGACTAAGAACAAACAAAGACACAGACAGACACCACACGGCAGTAAGCACCTTACGACTGCGTTCCTGGCAAAGGGAATTACAGCTACTGTAGTCCGCTGCTTTGCCGGCCTGATGCAGGGGTGCCATCTACAGTGGAAGAACAGAAATCTTCATGAACGACCTGCATCCTTTTGTTTCTTTTTTTAATTCCTATTGTGATCATTAATTGTTGCAGACAACCATTTCTCTGTTGATGATTGGTGTTAATATATCAGTAATAATATTTTAATTACTAAAGGAAAACGTTAGTTGAAATTTAATAGAGAATTATTTCTTTCGTGTCCTCATGCTTCACACTCAGTTCTTCATTTACTTTATCCCTTCCCTACATTTATCTCCTCCATTTCTTTCTCAATTAAAGCACTTAGCCTTGAGATGGCACAGTTAACGAACACTGAGCTGCCATCTGTGTAAGTACGCGAAAACTACAAGTCCCAATGGAATAAGCGCGAGAATGACAATCATAAACCCTATTCCGGTCGATCGGTTGAAATTCTGCTGGCACTCGCCAGCACAGTAATTCTTGGTTTCGAGTCCCGTCGGGATCCACGATCAAGATGTTTGTTCTCTCCTACACATGTATGTGTTTCGAAATGGGGCCTCCTCTTCAACAAGAGGAGGGTTATGACTAATACTGGTCACTCCCCTTTCTACTGGGGGTGACTCGAGACACACACACACACACACCACAAAAACCATATCCCATCATACAACTTGGCAAATTTACCAGGCAGTGAAGACAGAGTGCGCTAGTGTAAACATTGACATACTGCACTCGTATTCGCTTCTACTTCACAGCACTTGACTCGTGCTAGCTCTGTAGTTGTTATAGTTATCCCCATGTCTAAGCACCATACAGTGAAGGCATCAGAGGGCGTGGAAATGGGGTTCCAAGCACATGCTGACTTCACAACCAGAAGAATCAGAGAGCTGTGGATAAAGCTCCAGCCACATTTGTTCAAAAAATTAAGACTACAGATATTCTTTTCATAACAAGATTAGAAAATGCTGTATATTAAGTAAAAGCGGTTTCTCCCGCAGTAGAAATACACCCCATGTTGCTGAAGTTCAAAACGTGTTATCTCCATGGTTTCACGATGTACACGTACGTGAGATTCATACCTCTTCATATTGTCCCATAAAAATAACCCTTTGTTAAAATACCGTGTTATGCAGATGTATAGGTCTGTGCAATACCTGAACATTTAGTCAGCAACACACTCCACTCGCCTTTGCTCCCAGGGAAAGCGCTACTGTTCACTAAAGGGAAGTATCACTCAAATGGTATCGGAGGGTAAATTTTATCAAGAAATAAAGACGGACTGATATTGAAGTTGACAAGTTCATCTTTTGCAGTCATTGCGAATATATGAGATTTGAATTTCACACGGCCATGAATATCATGGCCGGTCACGGTAGCCGAGCAGTCTAAGGCATGCACTGTCTTCGCTCGCTCGGAAGCCGGGATCGTGGGTTCGATTCCCACTCAGGGCACGGATATTTGTGTGCGTTTTTCTGTGTTTGTCTACAGGTAGGGGCCTTGCGACGAGCTGATCACTCGCCCAAGGAGTCCTACCGTATGCGTAAGATCTAGAAAAACCGAAGTGAACGGAGAAGTTCATGGAGGCAGGCTTAGGCCCACTGGGGCTGTAGTGCCAAGGAAAAAAAATGAATATCAAAACGACGGTCTTTATGATACGGTGCAGTGTAATTTGGTAGATTTATACTTATGTTTCGGAGGAATGTTCCATCTTCAGGGTAGTTTCTGAGAAACTTGCTGTCTCCATTCTCAGGGAAACTTATCTTCAGCACGTTCCTCCAAAACTTTGATACATGTCTACCAAACTACACTGCGTCACACCGCAGACTATCTTAATCTTGAGGTTACCCTTATATATCGTATTTCCACGTCCCCAAACAGTGAGGGCTTGGGTTCTAGACAGAGAAATAACATGTACCTTCATGTACTGACAGTTCCAACTCGCTCAGATCAGCATTCGCGTCCGTGGTCCTGTGTATGCAACACTGTGCATATTCGTTAACGTGACGATTTCATGCGATTTCGAATTTCTAAAGAGAAATTCATTTGAAGTCAGTGAAGTCAGGATGCCATGTAGGCCACTCGTCATGGTAACCGAGTAGGAGTCACGGATCTGCACCAACAGAACCAACCAAGTCCCTCTAGTATACAGGGCGCAGCAGTGTCGTGATCACCACAAGCAGATCCGGCTATTTTATTCTGTCTTATTATATCTTACATGTAATAACACAGGAACTCCATATAATACTGTCAGTGATACAGTGATTATAGACGGGGTTTGGATCGATAATCAGATTTATTGAACTCTTACAACTTGTAATTACAAGTAAGGAGTATGCTCTCACCGTTCTGCACATCCACAGCTCACTATAGGGTGCACTAGGTCTTCTCAGTCTGTTACAGTCTTCACTAGTCGTTGCTTGGTAGCGGCCTCCAACGGCGGACGTTCCCCTTCCTCTGGATTCCTGAACTATCTCCTACCTCAGCTACTTGTTTCTCACAGCAGCAGCTCACAACTGAACCACAGCAGTTCTGACTCACTCCTAACAATTCCTGTTTTTAATATCTCGGAACGGATCGTACAGAAAACACCGTTCATCTGTTGCTGCTTATGGGCTGCTGCCTAGTAACGGCCGCTGTATAGTTGTTAATTTCACGGTCGTTGCTTAGCAACGGGTATATATGCCACAATATATATTAGGCGAGGCCAAGAAAATGAGAAGCAATAGATATAAGGGAGAGAAAGGAAGGAGAAGAAGGAGGAAAGAAGGAAAAGAAACAGGGCGAGAATGTGGAGAAGAAACGGAAGGAGTCAAATAAGAAGAGGAGAAACAGACGGAGGAGGATAATGAGAAAGAAAAGACAACAGGGTAGGAAGAATATAGAGCATAGGAAAGAGAAGAGATGGATGAAGGAGAACAGGGAAAATAAAGACGAGGGGGAAGAATAAAGGAAGATAAACAGGGCCAGGAGGAGTATAACAAAAATAAGCAGGATTGAGCACTAATTAGAGTATCTATTGCATATTCCATGAAACTCGAATCTGTTTTTCGACTGCCGCCCTCTTCTCTCCCACTTCCTGTTCCGTTTCGGTTTCGTCGCCGGGGAATTGGACCCACAAGACGGTGTCCTAGAGGCAGTTTGCTTCCTGGACTCCACACATGAATTTTTTATTAAGATCATGTTCTCTCGGAGCAAAGCAGCGAATAACGGGGCTCTATTAACCTGAAGACTGGAGCTTGCCAAGCCCCAATGATGCGTAACCATGGCAACGACATGTCCGTGTAAAGGAGGGCACACAGAATACAAAATGACTCGGCTCAAACTGAATTTCAAAGCAGCCAAATAAGCTTAAGGAAATCAAAGGCTTACACGAGACAATACGTGTGAAGTGAATTGGAGTCGGGTTTTTTTCTAAAAATGACGCAATAGTCTTTGTCCGTATCTGACGATAAAGCAGCCTCACAGATGTTTAGGGCCCAGTATAGAACGTGCTTAAATATGTGTAGAAAAAGATGTCTTCAGTTCAATTTATTCGTTACACAGAAAAATATTTTCCTCTTTAAAAGTTAAAAAAATTAGTTCATATTAATACGACACATAAACCCATCCCCAAGTAACAGCTCCTTGAACAGGCGACAGCCGTTGCTAGTGAACAGCTTTATGGATGTTTTTTCCCGACAACGAGAGAACGAGACAACATGCAATAACGGAAGAGACGTTTTCTGTGCGGTCCGGAATAAATAACGAGGCTAGCAGTTCAGTCATTTTGCGGACAGCTTTCAACTTTCGTATGTATACAATTAAAGATAAACAGCTAAAGCTATCCCTGTAACAGGCCGTAGAAGCCCATAGGGTTGTGAGAAGTTGAGGCTCCCACATTTTCTAGACAATCGGCTCACAGATGGCGGTAAGGTTGTCAGCCGTACGCGCCAGCGGCCCTTTACCCCCAAGAATATTCCTGGTACTCATTTCTGTTAGAGGCTGAGTCGTCCCAAGGGCCATAGTGCGGCTGGAGGGATTAAGTTAATTAAAAAATTTTAATGACCTCATCGGGAATCGAACCCACGACATTCCGGCTTGTAGCATAATGTCTCAACCAACCACGCTACTGCGCGTTGCGTATTTATACGATTATATAACAAAATAATGAAGGCAACATGAAGAAGTCATACAAATATGAAAAAAAAGGTCATACAAAGTCGTGAGAATGAACATGTTCATGATGAAGCCAGACATAGAAAATATATGAGGCTTAAATACGGCGATGGTCAAGCTTACGACCGTTCAAGTGACTAAACTACCGTTATAGCATAAGATACGTAAGATAGGCATGATCTTCTCTGTAAAGCCTGTACTGACAGAGGACTTGTGTGTAGTGCAAAGGGAAGAATTTCCAATAACACGCTGTATGTGCGAAATATACAATTGACGAAAGGCCAAGCATATTCATAAAAGACAAACCCATCTTCTCGTCAGAGAGGATGTTACATAAGGGCTATTATCGCAAGGGTTCAGTTGAAAAATAATCTCTGGTCATGAGTATCAAGGGGCTTGACGCCAAAATGAATTGATTGGCGGTACACTGTCAAGGGAACCAGAAAGTTCGCAGTTGAAAGCCGCTACCAAGCAACGGCTAATGAAGAGTGAGAAGATTTCATGTGTGCTGTAGTTACAGTGATTTATGGGGTGTGTAACTGAGGGAGGCTGTCGTAGTTATTTATAGTTATGAGTGTAAGTGTTCAATAAATCCTGTCATCAATCCAAACCTCTTCTCTAATCACACTCAAACACTCGACCTTATAGTCCATTTTAAAGTGTCGGATAAGGCTACAGTTTAGTTAGCCAAACCCAGAAAACAAGCGCCGAATTCTCCAGATTTAAGTAGGACAGAATGCCGCGTGTGGAAGGTATTTAAACAGGTACTGCATAAATACAAGAGAACCGTCAAGATCTCTAAGTTACTGTGAAGGGTACGAGGGAATTAAGGCTTCCTCCACTTTGTTGGGCATTAAATGTAGAGACAGAATCGTCCTACTTCATACAT